CAGTTTGGTGCCCCTGAGGCTGGCAGTGGCCCAGGTGGTGACAGCAGCACTTAGCAATGGCCAGGGCAGAGCCGATCTCCAGGGTGCCCTGGAGGGTTTGTGTGCTGCTCAGTGCCCAAGGGTCCAGGGTCCTCCCAATCCCACGAAGACTGTTGGTGCCCCACAGAGAGAAGGAGACCGGGCTGTCTGCACCCACAGGTGGCAAAGAAGTCTCCTTGCTGGGGGCCCCAGCCAAGCAGAGAGGTGGGGCTGATTCGTGGGGGGAGGGTGGGACATGGGTTGGGAAGATGCTTGGGATCTTCTTGGTGCTCCTTGAGGACATGGAAAGCCCTGGGGGTGGTTTGGGTTTGGGTGGCATCAGGGCAGAGGAAGCTGCGGGCCTGGGGCCCTGGGGCTTTTCACAGTGCTCTTGGCTGGGGAGGAGACGGTGCCCTGAGCAGGGCCTGGGGGCCTGGTGTGTGGGTGGGAATGGGCAGGGGCTTTTGGAGTGGGAGGAGGTGCCAAGGGCTGTGGGGAGGTAAATGGCCCAGCAGGGCTGGAGGTGGCACCTGCAGCCTGCACAGCCCCTGGGGAGAGGACGGACCCCCACACTTCCCCAGGGACAGCTCAGAGCGGAGAGGGCTCCCACCCTGGTGCTGTGACTTGACTCCCAGACCTGCAGGCTAGGGCTGGGCACGCTCCTGACCGGTCCTGTGTTGGTGTTTGAAGGGGCTGCAGAGGTGAGGCTGAAGGATGGTGGCGGGCCCTGTGCTGGGAGAGTGGAGGTGAAACACCAGGGCCAGTGGGGGACCGTGTGTAGTGACTCCTGGGACATGGAAGATGATGCAGTGGTTTGTAAGCAGCTGGGCTGTGGCTTTGCTCTTGAAGCTCCTCGGTACGGATACTTTGGGCCAGGATCTGGCCCCATTTGGATGGCTTATGTTGTCTGTCATGGCACCGAGTCTGCCCTGTCTGACTGCAGACACCGGGGATGGGGTATAGACTACTGTGATCACAGACATGATGCTGGAGTGAAGTGTTCAGGTAAGGGTCAGCCCATTCCCCTCCTTTGGGGCCAGGGTGCGGGGAGGGAACTGACTGTGCCCTCAGGAAGCAATGAGCAGATGCCAGAGCAAGGCCCAGTGTGGCCGGTTGCGGTGCTGAGCTGGGACATCCCTTGCTGGTTTCACAGTCTCTGAGGAAAGCCCTGTGAGAGCCCACGCTGGGTGCGTACACCCTTCAGCCCACCCTCCGTTATTGCTTGGGGCTCGGATCAAACCCCTTCCATGCCTCTTGGTCTCTGTTGGGTCCCATCTTTCTCCTCCCATTCAGGCAGGACCTGCCTGGCATTGCCAGGGGCCAGGCCCCACCATGCCAGAGGCACTGAGAGCTGCTCACATGGGCACCCACAGCCCTGGGAACGGCTCAGAGTGGCTGGGGACATTTGGGTGGTGCCTCCTGCCATCGGCACCCACTGGGAGCTTCTGGGGTGCTTGTGGGGCTCTTTGCCGATGGCCTCCTTGGGGATGAGGTGGGATGGGGTCAGGGCACTGCCAGAGGGCTCTGGGAACTTGCAGGGGTCTTTGGTTTCTCCAGGATTTGTCCAGCTGGTCGGAGGGGACAGCCCTTGCTCAGGACGCGTGGAGATCCATGACGGGGACCAGCGGAAAACTGTCTGTGACTCAGACTTGGGTCCCAAAGCTGCCAACATCATCTGCAGGGAGTTGCAGTGTGGCACAGCCCTGTCCATCCATGGGGCAGCTCCCTTTGGAGAAGGGGTTGGTCCCATCTGGGACAGAGAGCTGCAGTGTGCAGGGAATGAATCCTTCCTCATGTTCTGCCCTAGGGGATCCCCAAGGGACCAGCCTTGCACCCATGCAAACACTGTCGGTGTCACCTGCACACGTAAGGACTCCGGGCGGGGTGTGAGACACCAGGGGTGTGCTGGGGACAAGGGAAGCAGGGCAGGGCCTGTGCTATGCTGGGTGTGAGGACAGAAGGGGTGATGTGGTTGTCTGCAGCCTTCAAATGGCCGGCTCTCACCCTTTTGGCCTCTCCTTCAGCTCCCAAGGGAAGGAGAGCACAAGTCCACTCTCTCTCATCCTTCTCTGTCCCCAGAGTACACAGGGTTCAGGCTGGTGAATGGCAGCACAGCATGTGAGGGGAGGGTGGAGGTCGAGGTGCTGGGGACTTGGGGCACCCTCTGTGCCCCCCGCTGGGATCTCTCGGATGCCCACGTTCTCTGTCGTCACCTCAACTGTGGCTTTGCTGAGTCCATTCCCAGAGGAGGGCATTTTGGGAGAGGAACTGGACCTGTCTGGAAAGACTCATTCCACTGTGAGGGGACTGAAGCCCACCTGCGACAGTGCCCCATGACAGCCCTGGGGGCCTCACCATGCTCCCATGAGAATGACGCTGGTGTCATTTGCTCAGGTGAGTGCTGGGAAAACACTGGGTGAACTCCATTTGCCATTTGGGTGTGCCATGGCCACCCAAAGCAGGGGACCCTGTGGCAGTACCAAGGTGAATTTCTCCCTGGAGAAACCCTGGCTTCCCCAGGAGTGATCTGGAGAGCTTTATCTGCTCAGCCCAATTACTCTGATGTGGGAGAGCTGAGGACTGAACAGGGTCAGGCATCTCTGCCCCCACAACGAGGAGGGGGCTGAGGCCCTGGGGCCACAGCCAGGGCTGGGGTCTTCTTCTGTCCTTCTGCAGGACAGGCCCAGGATAGGGCTGTGGGGCTCAGCTCCATCCCTCGGGCTGCAGACAGCCCTGTCCCAGCCCCATAGAGACCCCCAAAGACCCCAGTCCCACACCTGTGGGGGCTGCCCAGGTGCCCCCAGCAGCAGAGCTGAGGGCTGAGCTGCAGAGAGGGTCTGGGCTTTGACCTTGCTGCTGGTGCTTCTGGTCAGCACAAGTCCCAGCCTTGCCCTGTTGGGTCAGAAAGGCCCCCCTGGCTCTGCTCCCTGCTGGGGACACAGCCTCCCAGTCCCCGATCCCCAGGGGTGCAGAGGGGCAGAGACATGTGGGCTCTGCCAGGGGTCTCAGCAGTGCCAGTGTCAGCGCTGAGGTTGGGCAAGGCTTGTCCCAGCACTGCCTGTCCCCGGGGAACCGCAGGGGCTGCTGCTGCCTGCTGCGGGAGCTGCCCAAGCTGCCTGAGCAGGGACACGTTGGGTGGCTCTGCCCCAGCAAGAGCAGCGACAGCGTCTTGCTCAGGAAGGCTCAGGGCCCGGGAAAGAGATCCTGTGGAAAGGGGCTCCTGAAGCTCCCTGCAGAGGGCTGGGGGCAGGCGGGTGAGCTGCGGGGTGCTGTGAGGGTCCCCGAGCCTGCCTGGAGAGGTGCTGCCTGGTTGTGGGCTCCCTGGTGC